AGGCTATTCCTTCCAAGGTAGTACCCCCAATCATAGATGACAGTAACAGTAAGAATCACTCACACCCATTATTCTAGGAATCTTCAGTCTGGGTGTGTTTGTGTGTGTGTATTTTTTTTTTTTTTTTTTTACTCAGTCTGTGTTTTGGTTGATTGTAGCCAACCTCTGGTGAAGGATTGGAGGGACGTTAGGTACATTGTTATTCTCCTTGAAGGGAGCCCTTTCTCCAATAAATGAAACAACAGCTTGGTAATAAACCCAGTTTCCTTCACAGCATCCTTAGAGTTCAGCAATAATTCTTGGGCACTTTCCACTCTCACTTTGGCACTTCTGGGAGCCAAGAGGAGATAGTGAGACACCTCAAGGACATAAAAAATCTACTGAGTTTTGCTAAGCTACTGCCCTTGTCAACACTACAGGTTGGGTATCAGAGAGAGAAGGGGAACAGCTAGTCCCCGGGGTGAGCCAGGTCAGTAGGGCCACTATTGTCTGAGCACATCCATGGCTTTCACCCCTCACGAATAATTTCGAGTCCTAGCCTTTCACATCTATATAATGGGATGCCAGCCATTTATAAAATTTCAAGCTGTCTTAAGTGAAGAAAAAACAACCTAATTACACACAAGCAGGAACACTGCCATTATGTTAAATACATTAAAAATATATATATCTACATAAGCCATAGGGGCCGTGAGTAATCCTGGAATGCCAAACAGAAGGGGCCTGCGGGTTGGGATGGGAAGTACAATCCCATTTCACTGAATATGCTTTTGTACTGTTTCCCCCTCCTAGGATGAGTTATTTTAAATAGATCCCAATTTCTGGAAATTTAACGTAAGCTCTGTTCGTAGCAAACTATGTTCAAAAGTTCAGCCCTGGGGCACCTGGGTGGCTCAGTGGTTGAGGGTCTGCCTTTGGCTCTGGTCATGATCCCAGGGTCCCGGGTTCGAGTTCGACAATGGGCTTGGAAGTTATCAAGCTCAACGCGAGAGCTGTGGTGCGAGTGCTGGGCATGAAGCCATGTATGTGCGGCTCCTGCCCCATGGAGGTGGGCTGACCAGGGGAGAACTCCCTGCCCGTGGCACCCAAGGCGTCCAGAGAGAAGTCTCCAGAGCCCAGGAGCCCAGCACACCACTGGCTTCCGCATCCTCCTCCCTCTGAGTGTCCATTCCCAACTCCAAAGTGACTCCAAGGTCTACCAGCTCCAGAGGCAAAGAAGGGAATCTGGTCACATCCTCCTTGACCCTGACCCTTCTATCCTGCTCCCCTGCTGCTTCTATTTGTAACTTTGCCTGTTGCCACTCTGAAATGCTCCACCAGGACACCTGTCATGCTGAACTCCATCGAGCCTGAGATCCCACTCTCCAGCTCCTGTCTGGGGGTAGACAAGCTGACCATGGCATCCCCACCCCAAGGTGGGTGCAGGACAGCAGGCTAACCCAGGCTCACCTGCCATGCCCTACAAACTGGCCATCCTGGACGTCTACCCATCACCGGCCGTTCCCTGCATTCCTCCCCATGAAGACCAGTAGGACAACAGTGAATTGCAGGGACCTTTGCCCCTCACATTGTTCTCATTTGCCCAGCAGCCCTGAGTCCCTTGGGAGGAGTGAACCGCAACCCTGATTGTCATCATCCCATTTCCTAAGGAAACATGACAACTGCTCCCACAGCCTCTCTTCATAGGCGGGGAAAATGGAAAATGGAAAATCCATGGGCTCTGGACTGAATCCCAGCTCAACTCAGCTTTATTCTGGGGCAGCTTCCTTACCTTGTTTGCAAATGGGAATAGTTCCTACCTCGTGTTTGTGAAAATCAAATGAGTCATCCCCCTCTTTATTCCTGACACACCCCTCTCCCATTTCAGCCCTCCAGCTAAATCCACCAGAGCAGCCCTGACCTGGTACTATTTGGTGATCAACCTTTAACACAACATATGAGGGATGCCTGGGTGGCTCAGTGGTTGAGCGTTTCCCTTTGGCTCAGGTCGTGATCCCAGGGTCCCAGGATCAAGTTCCGCATTGGGCTCCTTACAGGGAGCCTGCTTCTCCCTCTATGTCTCTGCCTGTCTCTCATGAATAAATAATAAAATCTTAAAAAAAAAAAAAAACCCATAGCAAATGATTTCAAAGTAAAAATCCTATTTCTGATAGATATTCTCTTCCTATCAAAAGGGAAGTTTGGAAAGTCTTGTAAGCATATATTACGAGAAACCAAACCAAAAAAAAAAAAAAAAAAAAAGGAAAGAGAAAGAAAACCTGCTTCTCCTGGAGAGCTACAGAACCCACAGACCCAGCAGCACACGGAGTGACAGGAACACATACACACCTACCTGCTCTTTGGAGACCAGGGTTCCCTCTGTCGCTGGCCTTCTTCGGGGCCTGCTTACCTTTACCTTCCTTATAATGGTCATGACTCAATCTCCAAAACCCTCCCAGATCACCTCCCTCATTTTTGATAAGAGAAAACAAAAGGCCCAGAGAGTTTAAGTGACTTGTTCGAAGTTGCACAGTGAGCACATGGCAGGCAGCTGAGTAACTTTAGCCCAGCTGGTGAGCACAGCAAACAGAGCACCTTGTGAACCGCTCAGGTAAGAGGAACCACACTGCAAGGCTGTATTTCAGGGAGCCTTAGCAGACTCTGGAGATGTTCTGTGCATCTCAGCTTATGTTTTCAGCATGGAAAACAGCAGACTATTGAACAATACGGATCCAAACTGCAAGAGTCCACTTATATGCAGATTTTTTTCGACAAATATGGCAGTGTTATTAATGGGTTTCTCCCCCTTATGATTTTCTTTATAATATTTTCTTCTCTCTAGCTTACTTCCTTGTAAGAATACAGTGTATAATATGTATAACATACAAAATATCTGTTAATCGACTGTTTCCGGTTATTGGTAAGGCTTCTAGTCAACAACAGGCTATCTCGAAATATCAGAAAGGGAGACAGAACATAAAGACTCCTAACTCTGGGAAATGAACTAGGGGTGGTGGAAGGGGAGGAGGGCGGGGGGTGGGGGTGAATGGGTGACGGGCACTGAAGGAGACACTTGACGGGATGAGCACTGGGTGTTATTCTGTATGTTGGTAAATCGAACACCAATAAAAATTAATTTATTAAAAAAAATAAAATAAAATTTAAAAAAAATGAAAAAAAAAACAGGCTATCTCAGTTAAGTTTTTGGAGAGTCAGAAGTTAACAGAAGCATTTCTGCCCGCACGGGGGGGGGCAATGTTATTCAACGGTCAGGGGGCAGAGTTGTTCAAGGGTCAACAGTAATGCGTATTTATTTGCCAACAGGATTTCCCAGATCTTCGGTGAATTTCTTAGAACTCCTGCTATCTAGATCTCCTACCATTAAATGGCACTCTGAGAAAAATGGAAACACACATCTTCCAGCATTTTAAATACCTAGAACACAAGTTAGATTTGCCTACAGGGCACTTGACATGTGCAAGTGAGGAACTGAGGGTCTTGAATTTTTCAACACTTTTTACATGGTAAAATACACATAAAATTTACCATCTTAAATCATTTTTAAATACACACCATAGCAATACTGAACATATTCATAATGTGCACTATTGCTACACCATCCCCTCCACTGCTCTCTTCATCTTTAAACTGCAACCCTATTCCCATGAAACAGTAACTGCCCCTTCCCTCTGCCCTCCTCAGCCCCTGGCAACCACCAATCTACCTATGTCCCCAGGATTCTGATTACTTTAAGTACAACCACACAGTATCTGCCTTTTTGTGACCAACTTATTCCACTTGGCATAATACCCTCAAGGTGAACCAAGTTGTAGCGTGTGCCAGGATTTTTTTCCTTTTTAAGGCTGAATAATATTCCACTGTGCATAGACACATTTTGCTTATCCTTTCATTAGTCAATAGACATTTGGATTGCTCCCACATTGTAGCTATTATGAAGGCTACTAACAACACGGTGTATCTCTAGGAGACCCTGCTTTCAGTCCATTTGGGTAAACAGCCAGAAGTGCTGAGTCATCTGCTAATTCTATTTTTAAGTTTTGAGGAAGCGCCATATTGTTTTCTATACCGACTGCACCATTTTCTTTTCTGCTGAGAACACCCAAAGGTTCGGATTTCTCCTCACCCTTGGCCAATATTGTTGTTTTCTGGGATTTTGTTTTGTTTTTTAACTTTTTTGATAGCAGCCATCCTAATGGCTGAAGTGAAGTGCTATTGCATTGTAGTTTTGATCTGCATTTCCTTAGTGATCAGTCATGTTAACTGTGTATCTTCTTTGGTTCAATGTTTTCATTTTATTTCACTGTAATTAGGTCACATTTAAATGGCCCCATGTGGCCAGGGGCTTCCACAGTGATTCTCAGGGCAATCTGGAGACACAGTGCAGTAAATATAATGAGCTCTGGAGCCACGTGGATCAAGTCAAGTACTTTCTAGTTCTGTGGACTTAGCCAGGCACTTAAAATTCCTACACCACAGTTTTTATATGCATAAAATAGGGTTAGGACAATCCAGATTACTACAGCTACGAATGAAATGACATGCATCAGGCCCCAGTATAGTCTTAGCATACGGAAAGAATCGAACCCAATGGAACGGGCCTCCCCTCCTTTCCCAATGCCCACCAAAACTGGACACCTAGGAGGTGGCCTTTAGAGACACTTTCTCCAAATGGGCTGCGCCCCTTGCCAAAGAAATGGGACTTTCAGTTCTAGGAAACAAAGGTCTTTGAGCTCCCACCCAGTGAACCCCAAAATGGAGGGCAGACGGAGATGAAATCTGGAACCCCACCCCTGATACTCAGTGAGTCTGACTCTGTCCCAATCCAGACTTAGCAAATCACCAGCAGGTTACCAAAATCCCAATTTTAGAATTCCTGTCCATCTCCTCTGTGAAGTAGCCAAAAACAGACCTGCAGAGGAAGAACCCCTTTTGGATGTGATGCATGGCTCAGGATAGCCCTGAGATGGGTTCTGCGGGCCCGTGAGCCCCAGGCCCCTTACCTGATGCCGCAGTGGTGGGGGTGCTGGCTGGCGCGGGCTGCGAGGGGCTGCTGCTCTCGGCCATCAGGCACGGGTTGCTACCACCGCTCTCTCTCTTGACAAGCAGCTCGGCGGCGCTGGGCAGTGGGATAGGGTGGCTGATCCCCAGTTCTTCCTCCTGGGCCTGCTGCCTTCTCAGGGCCACCTGGGAAGCACAGGGCAAGCAGGTCAGCCTCCCACGCTCCAGAATCACTCACCCGGCTTTGCCAAAACCCCCGGAGCCCCGCTCATCCCCAGACATCAGGAGTTATGAGCTCTGGAAGCAAGGTCTGAGAGTCTCTCGTTCCTTCTGAACGGCAACTAGGTAGGATGTGCAGCCAAAGCCGAGGCGTGGCTGAGAGCGCACAGCAGAGTCAAAAAATGTCCATTACACAAATGAGAATGTACAGCAGGAAATAAGGTTGGTCCAGGAGAATCAGGAAAACCTGTAGAGTCCACCAAGCAGAGGAGGTCAACCTGAAAAGAGGTCAGCATTGACGGATTAGGAAGGACATTTGTAAAAGGCCACTGTCCTGGGGCCAGCGAGCAGCAAGATACAGTAGGATCAGATTAGATCCCAAGGTACTCACTGACAAAAAGCAAAAATAGGAGTTGGGCAAACATGCAAATGCAGCTTAACATGAAATGTGGCAAATACCACAGGAGAGGGACACATCGATCCTACAGCAGGGCTCGCAAGGCAGAAATGGCTGTAAGCATAAAAACTAGCTAGAAGTGGAACTAGAAGAGGGCCCTGGATAGCAGAATGACTAACACCTGGACAGGCAAGAATGAAGGGGAGGAACTATCCAGAGCAAGGGAGCAGTGTGGCCAGGAGAGGCAAGCACTGCTCAGGACACCCCAGAAGGGCCCTGCTCTCCGGAATGGAGGGAGCATGCAGGGCAGTAATGCGGGAATGGGGCTGGAACAGGGCGCTGACGTCCATGGAGAACGAGGAGGCCAGATAGAAACACAGGCAGAAGACAGAGGCTCTATGCTAGCAGGACAGAAGGGGCTGGAAGCCAGGGTGTTAAGGGACCTCACCTACCTAGGAGACTCCTCAGGGTCCCTCTTCAATTTATCTGCTTTTAAATAACATTGTTAAAGTTTGCACACACACAAAAAAAAAAAGTGTAAAGAAATTAAATTGTACTTTTGCCTACCACATGTAACAAAAAAGGAGACTTTCTGTTGAAACTTGACTACTGGTGATGGTGAAATGAGAAAGTAAACTATCCCTGCCTCCCTCTGAGGCCCAAATAAAAGCAAAAAGCCAAGATCAAAAATGTAAACCAAAAACACAAACTACTATTTATTGTTTTAGGGAAACTGTAGTCCAAGGTTAGCAAGCTGATCAACTCACAAATAATTTTACTCATAACATGAGCCTTCAACTTACAAAAAAAAAATTCTTAAATAATCAATTAAGATTAAATGATCCAGCTTTAGTCTTGAATTTTCTATTATTAACCAAGTTTAGAAACAATATTAAGGATTTGGCCAAAAAATAGCAACAAAAAAACTCCACAAATCTCTGAAGTATGTCAATGAATGCTTATATCCTGATTCACACAAATCTCATGGATGCACAAAATGTGGATATTTATTTTATATGCCATAAACGGAGAAGGACACTTTTATGAAAACCTCTCCAAGATTTTAAAGAAATATTATTTAATCAGGGAAGACGGGCAATTGATTAAAATGCAGTTAGTAGGGTCATATTGAAGATCCATTTCGCACTGTTTCAGAATGAAAAAAACAGCTGGTACAGGGGAATTTTACAGGATTTCATCTAGGACAGCACAAGCCTTTCTGGTGTAAAAAAATGCTTGTTTCATATTATAGAAGTAGTCCTGAGTTGCTTTTGTTTTTAATGTAGCAAACAGTTTTTTTCCAAGTTGGTGCCCCTATGAATAAAGCTTACTCAAAATGAATGGCCCTACTTAAATACATGCTTTTATTACATTTTAATACATTTCCAGGAAAATTCGTCTCCGAAGCATATTCTTCACACAATAATATTTAAGCCAACAACTCAATGTTCAGAAGATTTTTCTGTCTACAAATACAACTTCAACGTCCCTGTCTTTTTCAGTAAATGTGATGCATTTTAAGGCTGGATGAGTATAATCTGTTCCCCCACTATAGATCACACTAAAAATCCCCAAAGAAACAGCTAAGGAAAACCTGTATTCCATGACTGCACTTGCAATCTGCGAAGCCAACGTATTTCCAATTTCAGACACATTTTTTTAGATGAGGTGTATATAAAGAGTAGAATCTTTAAGCATTTATCCAGCCTTTCTGTTACACACTTGGATGAATTATTTTCCACGGAGGTTATTCACACGTTCCCAGCCACAAGTAGCACCTCGCGTTAGTAAACTTTTCTTTGGTATCTTTTCATCTTAAATAAACTGTCTTAAAAGGATGAAACAAATTTTAGCTGGAAAGAATGTATATTATTCTCTCTCTCTCTCAAAAAAAAAAAAAAAAAAACAAACCTTTCAGGATACCAAGACAATCATTTCGGTTTAAGATGCTAAATTACCGAACTGCCTAGAATGTTTTTTTTTTTTTTAAATTACGGATCTAGCCTCAAACCATTTCCAATTCCCCCCACCCCCACCCCTTGCGCACGCTTTTTAAAAACTTTCAAGCGTGCTTTCTAAGCCAGACTCCAAGCAACTCGTACCTGAGTGAGTCAGGTGCAGAGAGGCTGGAAGGCGAGGAGAATCCCTGCGGTGCGCGAAATGGCTGGGGCGCGCGGGGCCCGCGGGCGGCGACCCCGGAGGGCGCCGGGGCCGCGGGACCACGCTGCGCCCGCCCGCGCTGCCGCGGCTCTTCCACCGGGCCCGGAAGGGCGGCGCACCCTCCCCGGTGTGCACGCTCTCTCGGCTCCAGGTGCGGTGGGGGGGAGGCCGGGCACCCTGGGGCCTGCTCCCGGCGGGAGGGCTCCCAGCTCTCCACTCGGACAGCCAGGTCCGAGGTGCGCGGGGCCCCCGGAGGGCCGAGCCCGGCCACTCTGCGCCCTGAAAGCGGGAGCAGAGATCCTGGGGGTCTGGGGGGCCCCTCTCCCCCGCTCGAAGGCGCGAACCCGGCCACTCTGCGCTCTGAAAGGGGAGCAGAGATCCTGGGGGTTCTGGGGGGCCCCTCCTCCCCCCTCGAAGGGGCGAACTCTGCCACTCCGTGCTCTGAGCCAATGATCTGAGACCCTAGGGATTCGGGGGGCCTCCGAAGGCGCGAACCCCGCAAGTCTGCTGGAGGACGGGATCGGGGACTCCCGAACAGGGACAGCCCGGCGCCAACTTACGGCTCGGGAACGGAGACGCGAGATCCTGGGGACGGATTCTTGAGACACACACACCCCCCCCCCCCGCCCAACGGGGCACGCACCCGAACTCTCGGCCGGAGGGCCCAGCAAACCCCGCAACCGCCCTGCTCCGCGGGCCGGACCCCAGACGACCGGGAGCCCCGCGAGGCTGGGAGCCCCGGGCCCCGCGCGCCTCTCCGGACCCCCGCACCGCGTGGCGCCCGCCGGGCCCCAGGGACTCAGGTGGCGGGCTGACCCCCGCGCCCCGGACGCCCGCACTCACCTGCGCGGCCATCACGCGCTGTCGCTCGGCGATCAGGTTGCACTTCTTGCACTGGCAGTCCCGCCACATGCAGAAGCGCTTGTGGCCCTTGAGCGGCGACGCGTAGCCGTGGTTCCTGCATCGCGCGCACTTGGGCAGCCGCGGGGACTTCTTGCTCCCGGAGCCCATGCCCGACGCCCCCGAGCCCGAGCCCGAGCCGCCGCCGCTGCCCCCGGTGCTCCCGACCAGCGCCCCGGCCGCTTTGCCAAAGCCCCCGGCCTTGCCCTGCGGCGGTGCCCCGGCGGCGGCGTGCGGGGCCTCCGAAGGTGCGGAGGGCTTGCTGAATGCGTCGTCGTTGGGCATGGTGCCCCAGGGAGAAGCGCGAGGACGCTGGGGCCCCTCTCCGCTCTGGAGAGGGCTGCAAGGAAGAGCGCAGCCGGGGGCGAGGCTCCGGAGGGGAAGGCGCAGAAGGCGTGTGCGCCGCGGCCCGAGGTGCAGCCGGAGTGGCGAGGTCGGGACTCACAACGCCCAGACTGGTGGGGGGTTGAGCCCTTTTTCTTTTTTTTTTTTCTTTTGGCGCGCGCGCAGCGCGGAACTTTTGGATACTTTTCAGAACGTTCCCGGGATTGCCTGGGCGGGAGAGGGCGCGAGGGAATGCGGCCCCGCCCCCCGCCCCCCAACTCTAGCCACCGCGTTCCAGCCGGGAGCCGGCTTGCACTGGCTGCAAACGCCGAGGGCGTGGCTGCAGGTGTCTGCAAGCGCACCTCGAGGTGCAGAGCCGCCGGGGAGAGCGCGATCCCCACGCTCCCCCAGGTGCCCGAGCTCGCTGCACGCGGAGGAAGCAGAGCTCCCAGGGCTGGAACGCACTTGTGCATCCTCCTGGCGCACGCTGCTTGGAGGAGGTGCAGACCACCCCGTGGGGTCCTACAGCTCCCTTCCCCCACTCTCCGCGTTAGCTCCCTTAGCTCCGTTAGGAGGCCAGAGGTTGGCAGACGCCAACTCCAGGAAACGGGTTCTTCCTCACTTATGAGAAGAAGTAGGGGATTGTAGGCCGACAAAAGTCTCTGCCCTTAATCAGCAACTAAGACCCTCATTGTGTGGGGCTCGGGCGCACGAAAAATCGGGTCTTTCTGTTCTCCAGTCACTTCTTCCTGCCCTTGTGTTCATTCGTTCACAAGATTTCTACCTGCGGGCTCCCAATGACTCTGAAATCTGAAATTCCAGCCTTTGTGGCTTCTCACTTCAAATGCTTCACATAGAAAAAAAAAAATGTTTTACATAGGATCTGCACGCAGGGGCGTGAAACTCAGCCCTTAACAAACCTCATTGGAATGGGGTTGGGGGGTTACTTAGCAGATGAAGACGTTTATCAAAATTCATTCTACACTTAAGAAATGTGCATTCATTGTGTACAGTTATACCTCTAGAAACCCCCGGTCGTCTTACAGCCTCCCCCCACCCGTTCCTCTCTGTTCACTTACACAGCAAGTCCATCCCTAAGGCCTGTGGATCAGAAGATTTCTTCCCTACACACCCACGTGTCCCTACAAACAACCAGCCCTCCCCATGTCTGGATCTGTGGTAGCTTCCAGCTCCTATCCCTGGTTCTTGATCTTCCAGTATATTCCACACAGTTAGCTGGCCTCTGTGGTGGTTTGGTATGGCTTGTCTTGTGAAAAAAGTTAAAGACCCAAGGCTGTGTTTTAAAGGGCTTCAGTGATCTCCCTTTGCATTTCTCAGCCTCAGAGTTTCCAAGCTGGAAAGAGCTCAGTGTTGGCCCTTTACCTACCTGTTCAGTACCATTTCCCTAACCCCACAATGGTCTTTATCCAGCCAGGGGGTTGCCCTAAAATACCTCTCCTCCACTTTCCTTGCTTTTCCCCAGTATTAGTTCTCAGGCCCCAAATTCCAGGCCCCCAGCCCAGGGGGAGGGTAGGTCTGCAAAGAATGGAGACCATTGCACTTGGCTCCTCTCTTAGCAGAGGAACATTTTCAGCACTGATCTTGGAAATGCTCTAACCTACTTTTCCTATTATTCTGAAGCCCCTCTCACAGGCTCCTTCTTCAAGCCTGAATTTTCTCCCATTGGTGTTTCCTGGCTGAAAATATTTCCTAAAGAAACTTCTAGCTTTACACAGTACCTCATATCTTTAACCATCAAGCCAGTGAAGCTCTACTCCAGACAGAGGCCAGGATGCAACAACCATTCATCTCATTCTGGAACCTGTTAAAGGATAACCACTATTTTATTGAGGAATATTCCTAAATCTTCCATTAAAACACACATGCCAACTGCTGCTACCTATCATTTATCCTTTTCCACATATTTATACTTCAATACCCTAGCTCGAGCCAAATCATTCCCAAGGTTCAATCCAGTTTAAGAGAATGGAGTAAATGCTGGAAGCAGTGGCTGTCATAATCCCAAATTACAGGGGGACACATGTGTCTTTTGAGCCTCCCATCACTAGAATTTGTGATGGAGAAATTTAAGGCTACAGAAAATTTAGGAACCTGTGTAAACAAGGTAGTAAAACATAAAATGTGACGAAGTTAATAGCCTAATAAAGCTTTGATTCACAAACCATGGAGGAGGTACAAGGCACAAGGTTATCCAGAAGGGAAGTAGGGAGCCCCTAAGGATGAGCAAGAGTGGTTCTGGATATTTTGAGTGGTCTGCCCCTGTTGTCTTCTTTCTCCCCTCCTGTCTTTCCAGAAACCAGAGCTATGAAGGTGTGCGTTGATGATGCAGATCAGTGTGCGTTGAGATAGACAGATGGCCAAGACATACTGATGAGTGTTGGGGAAGGAGGGGTCTGTTCTAAAACTTGGTAGGATTAGGCAAAGACTTCTTAGATATGATACCAAAGCACAAGTGATAAGAGCAAAAAAAATTACAAACTGACTTTATCAAAATTTAAAACCTTTGTGCTTCTAAAGGTAGCACTTAGATATTGAAAAACCAAAGGCTGGAAAAAATATTTGGAAATCATCTATCTGATAGAGGACTTATATCCAGAACACATAAAAACTCTTGTGATTCAATAATAAACAGACAACCCAATCAGAAGCATGGGTAACATTTTGCATGGACATTTCACCAAAGAAAATGTTTGAATGGCCAGTGTAGACATGGAAAGATGCTTGATATTGTTAATTATTAGGGAAGTGCGAATCAAAACAACAGTGAACCATCACTGCACACCCACCAGGATGGCTATGATCGAAAACACAGTCCCGTAGCAAGTATTGGCTAGGATGTAGAGGACCTGAAATTCTCAGATATTGCTGGTGGGAATGTAAAACACAGCCATTTTGGAAAACTTTGCAATATGATCAAATTTTCACTCCTAGATATCTACTGCAGAGAAATGAAAACATACATCCACACAAACACTAAGACATGAATATCCATACCAGCATCACCCATTCGGAACAACACAAAGCCTTTAACGCTTGAATGAATAAACAAAGTGCTATATACATACAATGGACTATTATCCAGTAATCAAAAAGGATGAGGTAATGATACGCTCTACAGTAAGAATGAACTCTGAAAACAGTATGCTAAGAAAAAGAAGGCAGATTCAAAATACCATATATTGTATGTACCCATTTATATCAAATGTCCAAAAGAGGCAAATCAATTTAGGGAGGATAAGCAGTCACCAGGGGCTGGCTGGGAACAGAGAGGAAGTGCAGATGGGTATAAGGGGTCTTTCTGGGGGTGATGCAATGATCTAAAATTGTATTGCGGTCATGGTTGCAAAATTCTGCAAATGTATTAAAATTATTGGTATGACTAAACTGAGAGAATTTTAAGGTATATAAATTATGCCTTGGGGCACCTGGGTGGCTCTCCCAGTTAAGTGTCTGCCTTAGGCTCAGGTCATGATCTCAGGGTCCTGGGATGGAGCCTGGTGTCAGGCTCCCTGCTCAGTGGGGAGTCTGCTTCTCCCTCTCCCTCTTCCTTTTCCCCTGCTCATGCTCTCTCTTGTCTCTCTCTTTCTCAAATGAATTAAAAAAAAAAATCATGCCTCAACAAACAAACATGTAAACAAAAAACACCATGATATACAATGTGATTCCATTTCTGAGATAAGAGCAAATGTGGATTTATATTTGCTTGATAGGCTATTTAGCTCTCCCTGGGTTACCGGATTATGGGTGATAATCTCCTTATACTTTGTTTTGTTTTTATTTTATGTTTTTGCAAAGTCGATCCAGATTCTGGCACCCTCCATTCTGTCTCTTCCCCCATGGCTGTGTGGTAAGAGCTGACATCCGGGTTGGGGCCAAACTGGCCCAGCCTCAGCCCTGTGGTCAGCCCCAGCTTGCCAGCATTCTTAGCATTAGAACTTGGAAACCAAGTTCATTGCACCAAAAAATTATTACATGTTTTGCTTTACAGTTGCCATAGTTCTGTGATGCTTACACTTTACTAACTGATTTTTAAAAACATTTAGCAGGCATTACTTTCACCATAAGAGAAAAAAAAAACAAATATATTATTTTATTAGTGAGGCAGTATGGCATCATAATTAAATGTCTTGCTTTGAATCCCAGCTGTGTGACCTTAGACAAGTTTCTTAACCTCTCTGTGACTCAGTCTGCCTATCTGTGATAGGAGCATAATATTATCTGCCTCAAAGGATTGATAGAAAGACTAAATTAGTTAATACTCAGGAAGTGCTTAGAAAAGTATTTGGAACCCAGTCACAAGTCTGTTGTTTTTGTTGTTAATATTATTTCCATATTGGAAAGAAAAAAAAAAAGAGGTGGGAGAAAGCAGGGCATATATACATATAGCCTCCCACATGTTAGTATAATTTAGTGAGGAGGGAGCTATATTAGAAAGCGTTTATGATAAATTTCATCTACTTTGCATTTCGTCCATGGAAAGCAGCCCTAGCCCCTGGTCTTGGTGGGATCACAGGGAAAATTCTCTGTACTGCTTCTGACCATATATATGAAGTGAGACAGTGTATGAGTAAAATACTCAGCTCAAGGGCAGCCCAGGTCACTCAGCGGTTTAGCGCCGCCTTCAGCCTAGGGCGTGATCCTGGAGTCCCACATCGGGCTCCCTGCATAAAGCCTGCTTCTCCCTCTGCCTGTGTCTCTGCCTCTCTCTATCTCTCTCTCTCTCTCTCTCTCGAACAAATAAATAAAATCTTTAAAAAAAATACTCAGCTCAAGGGTCAAGTGTGGAGTGCTCAGTCCACTGGCCTGAACGAAAGACTCCGCGTGCAGCTGCATGTGGGCAATGCCCTGTGATATGAGCAGGAACAATCTGGGGAGGAGCAAGAGGAGTAGAGCATCGGGCACTGTGTGGAGGACCGGAGTAAGAGGAGGACTGCCCTGTG